GAGGAACCGGTGAAGCCGTGAATAACTGAGGAGGTGCCCGAGGAAGTAGAAGAGGGAATTCGGAAAGGGAAGGAACTAAGTGGGATGCAGGCTTATTTCAAGCCCTCTGAACACTTTGATGTCAGCTGCTGCGGGTTTCAGCAAAGGGAATTCACGCTTTAATTTCTTAAGGACGATCACTGGCTTCGGGCAATGAACAGGAAAAAGGCAAGGTCCTTATCTGGCAGACACAGTTTCGGTTTATCTAGACGCAAATGGAATGGCTGTGAATTCTAAGCACTCATTCTCTCTGTCCCTGAGTGTCCGACTGACAACGATGTATGTAAACAGGGCTATGGACAAACCCTCTTCCTATAGCTGCTCCTTTGGCCTGGGCTTTTTTCCACAATGACAGAAACAGATGTATGTAACTATGGGCTGTGTGCTTCAAAAAACAAGAAAAAAATAATAGCTTCACCATACAGTGAAAAAGATTTGGAGAGACAGATGTTTGTCAATTTAAACATGAAAAAAAAAAAAAGGATATGGGTATTAAAAACACCACATGTTTTAAATATGGTCCAAAATTTTAGATACTAATTCAGGACTCAATTGAGTGAGTAATACTTTTTTATCTTGAAAGGAAAAAATAAAGAATGGAGACAAGCCTAAAAATGACATCAGAATGAATGGATTTCATGTTTTGAAGGGAATTGGTAAGGCAAAAAAACAAAACAAACAAACAAACAGAAACAAAACACTGATGTCAATGCATAAGTAAGAGTAGGAAGTAAGCCGGGAGTTGGTGGCGCACGCCTTTAATCCCAGCACTCGGGAGGCAGAGGCAGGCGGATCTCTGTGAGTTCGAGGCCAGCCTGGTCTCCAGAGCGAGTGCCAGGATAGGCTCCAAAGCTACACAGAGCCTGCCTCAAAAAACCAAAAAAAAAAAAAAAAAAAAAAAAAAAAAAAAAAAAAGAGTACAAAGTAAAACTAGTCAACTACAAAAGGAGAGAATATGAACATGAAAAAGACAGCAATGATACAAAAAAAAAATCTGTGGGAGAAATAACTGAGATTGGATCTCTACACTATATGAAAATGCAAAAAACTTTTTCAATCTTAGCAAGTACTATATTGTTCATTCCTAAAAAGAAATAAGGCAAAACACAGCAACTGAGTTTTTAAAAGTAGTTTATTGACTATGGCATGCTGACCCTACTGTTAAAAAAAAAGAAACTTATCAAAAAGTCAGCAATCACTGATGCAGCTACAGCAGGGCTTATGACTAAAAAATAAATAAACTAATAAATAAATAAACTAATAAACTAATAAATAAATAAACTAATAAATAAAATAACTAATAAATAAATAAAGTTAACTATAATTATGAGATTTGCTAGATTATTTAATCTAACATTATAACTAAACAAGAAGTCTAGAATAAATTATTATGTAACATTAAGGAGCCTTACTTATGAAGTTTCAATTACACAATCAGTTATATATAAATAAATTATACAATTTATCATAAAAGCATTATTATTAATTTTGAGGGGGTGAGTCAGTGTTTTTCCTGTGTAGCTTTGGAGCCTATCCTGGCACTCGCTCTGGAGACCAGGCTGGCCTCGAAGTCACAGAGATCCGCCTGCCTCTGCCTCCCGAGTGCTGGGATTAAAGGAGTGTGTCACCACATCTCAGCTACTAATGTTTTTAAATAGAAAATTTATAAATATTTTCTTAGCCAGGGATGGCTTCTTTAAAGAATATTCATTCCAACAATTTGCACAGGATTTCCAGCAACTGTTTGGAAGTTTAGGTTGTTAAGTTTTCTTGAGGTTATTTTTGGGAGATAGGGAGGCAGATTTGTATTCCTCTCTATTTATTTTGATGATAAATAATGGCAACTGCACTACCCTTTTTATTACAATAAAGGAATTCTGAAACTCTTACCTGATACTACACCAACTCCATCATCACAGTCATAGTCAGAGACCTCACTGTCACTTAATCCCCAGGACCCTATAAACAAATGACAAGAATAATTAAACTTTACAGTTGTTCAGAAGAAGAAGAAGAAACCCACTGAAGTTGAAAAATGATTGAAAGTATTATCAATGAAACACTTGAAGACAGAGGAAAAGATAGGAGAGTTATTACGTGCTCACCAACACTGCTTTTCACAGACGTTTCTTGAGGTTAGGTAAAGAGGTAACGGTTTACAAAATTATTCAGAAACATGCTCCAAAATGGTAAAAGTCTGAAACTATCTTAAGTATGAAATATATAATTAAGATCTATTGAAAAATAATAGTTAGCATTAGATGCTTTGAGACAAAGGCACTTAAGCCAGGTAAATTCACACACAGAGAGACAGGTCATTTTCCAAATCAGCATGTCACTTCCTAATATGAATGACTAAGAACTTTGAAGCCAAGTTTTGCTACACACTATCACAGAGAATTTGAGGAACATAAGTTTATTCCTGACACTTTGACCTTCCTTTTTTCTCATTTTCTTAGCTGTGCCCCCCTCCCCCCTGTTGGTTCAAGAAGACAAGAAATAAATCATACATAAATGCCAGTGATGCTGTGATTTCTAAGAAGTGGACCAGGAGCACAAACAGGTTGTAGAATTTAATTACATTATAGTTTCCCAAAGTAACTTTTTTCCCTTGTCTTTGAGGTAAGGTCTCACTATGCAACCTTGGCTTGCCTGGAACCTGGAACTCACCATGTAGACCAGGCAGGCTTATTTATCTCACAGTATCTGCCTGCCTCTGCCGACATCCATCTCTGGAAATTTTAATGTTAATCTCAATATAGCAAAACTGGCATCAAGTTGAATAAAACAGAATTTTAATGTCTAAAACTGAACACACTTTACACTTAATTATGAAATAGACCGTGCAGAAAAACAAGTACTAAATTTTAACATTTATTTTTCAGGATGTGTGTCTCAGAACAGACACACTATGCAACAGAATCTCTTATTAAAGTTATTTTTCTCTGTCTTGGAATCACAAGACGTTTAATGATGAAAAATGATGATGGGGCTGCGATTTCTCTGACTTGTTTTTGTCTTTCATCACACGCTACACACCATTCATTGGGTGCTAGTTTCTGGAAAATACCTGCTTTCCTATATAGCTTAAAAGAAAACAAGATAGCGCTCAATGCGAAAGGTTTCCAAAGCAGAGATATCAGGGTGTTTCAGGAGCGCCTTCCAGTATGTGCACACTTCTCTCAGAAATACTCTGAATTTCCCCATATCCTTCGCTTAGTTGTTTTCAGCCACGCCCTTTTCCTTGAGAGAGTGTGTATGACTCCAGCTACTGCATGTCTCCTTTTACAGGAGAGGGCATCACACCTCGATTCTGTACTAGGTAATCTCAAGTAAAACCCACCCACAAATTTTGTCAGAAAACTTCAATAAAAAACATGGACATAAAAAAAAAAAAAACAAATAAACCAGCAAACAAAAAACCCACAAATGGACATTTGTTGGGAGCCCAGCATTTGGGAGGCAGAGGCAGGTGGATCAGTGAGTTCGAGGCCAGCCTCGTCTACAGTGTGAGTCCCAGGACGGCACAGGGCTACACAAAGAACCCCTGTCTAGCACAGGCATTTATATGAGAATTACCTGACAAATTTCCAACAGACGGGACAGAATGGGGTGTATAAAGCTAGAGCATGTTTTTTAAATGGATTTGGCCAGATAAAGGATTACACAGCTGGGGCTATAACAGAGAAAATTCAGCAAATTGGCTGTGAATTTTAACAAAATTTCTTTTTGTACAGGGCCAAGTATGGGGTTAATGATTGCTGTCACAGGGGTATAGTATGAAGATGTGAAGCTTTTACTATTAGCCAAGGGTTAGACGAGAACACCAGGAAAAGACAAGGTAATTTATCAGTCTTGATTGCAAATCAGGTCCTCAGGTTCAGCAGAATAAACACTAGTTCCTTCTGACTCTTACAGAACTGAGATTTTATGCTCCCATATTAACCTTAAAGAAGTTAAAATGTGCTGTTATTAGGTTCACTCTACTTGGATTTTTCTCTTTTCAACATTCTGATGAACTCAATGCTTAGATTTGATTGGTATATTAATTGTTTGTATGAAAATCATTATCTCAGTGTCTTATTAATAAGAAACATTTTCTAACTATAGAAAATGAATTTTCTGAGACTTCCTCTGAAAACATTGAAATTGTTGACTTTTACAATTAAATCCAAATCCATTTTGAACTTGGGTTGCATATAAGACGGAGACAACTTATTTTTTTTCCTATTGATAGCACATTTCTCAAAATTACTAATTTGCTATTTATTATTTCCCAGTCATCTGTGGTAGAACCTGCATCAGAAATGAATGCATCCTACCTAAAAGGACATATGCGTTCGTCTACAGTTTCTCTTGCACAGCTGCCTATCCACAAATCAGTAACTTACTATCTTTCTAAATATCGTGTCATATATGTTGCTAAACAAATCCCTCTGCAGCATTAGTCATATCTTGGATCGTGTACATTTGCTTTTGCATGTAAATTTGAGAACCACTTTAGCATATTTCACAAAGGCATTCTGTTGGGATTTCTATCTCACTTGTATTGGATGAACTCGCAAACTCAGGAGAAATTGACATGTCTTCTAACATTGCACTGGTAGTTATGAACATGACATTTGCGTTTCATGCTTTATTCCTCTCCAGTCATTTCCTCATGTCTCTCCCCCTAAGCTGGGGCTCGCCATTGGCTAGACTGGCTGACCAATGACTCTCACCTCCCTTCAACACCAGGGTTATGGATGACGCCTTTGTGCCAGTCCTTTATGCGAACGTTAGGAACTGAGATCAGGTCCCCTGAAAGCCTCCTCCCCTTCAAAGTAGCATGAAAACTTCAAAACGAGGGAAGTAAGGGCAGTTACAAACTACATCAATGACCAGCATGACCATAATAACTCTCAGAGACTGGCAGGGCACACATACCTTTATAGCAACCAACAGCTCTGTAACTGAACTTAAGACCCTCTCCAAAAGAAGGAAATCGGGCCCAGAACTGGAAACCTGGCCAACAACTTAGGGTGAGTACAGTCATGGATCTTGGAGGAGCCGCAAAAGCCACCTAACTAACCCAGCCGAGTCCTGAGCTACACTGGAAATGTCTGTTCTTACACCCACACATACATGTACTCTTCACCCCTCATCAAGGAAACTTCTCTTTGCAACCTACAAAGACTATTAGAGAAAACCACAGCAATCAAAACACAGAGCTGTGGAACCCAGCCCAAAGGATACATTTACAACATGTTTCCTGAATCTAAGGCTCAGAGATCATTGCAAAAGAGGAGGAGAAACCAGAGAAACAGGAAGTACGCTGTGAGACTCTGTCTTCCAGAAATGTTGGAAGCTACACTATGGAAGTCTCACCAACAAGACTGCCTAAACACAACCTGAACAAGGATGACACCGAAAGACACTCTAACGTGTCAGGGGAAAGCTCATGCATGAGGCCTCAACCCTCTTCTATCTAGTTCTTTGTGAACTAGAGGTGACTGAAGAATGCTAAGGGGGCCGGGGAGGAATAGACTTTCCCTGGGAGGAGCAAACCAAGCAGTTATCTGACACATACACACACACACACACATACACACACACACACACACACACACACACCAATAGCGAAAAAGGGGCCATGAATTTGGAAGAGCGTGAAGCAGAGGAGGCAACATTTCCATGTTGGTTTGGATGGAGGAAAAGGAAAGAAGATATGATGTAATTATATTATAATTTCAAAAACTTGTTAAAAACTAAAACTAAGTTTAAAACAATCAATAGAGCCACAATACACAACAATTACTGGCTCTATGAGTATTTCCAAAGCTCCAGTAACTTGGGTCAAACATCCAGGGAAGCCCACTGACCACGTTTTCTAGTGTCCTCTCTGCTACCTGCTCATTTTCCAGGCCTGCTTTAGAGGAAACGCTCCTGGTATGCGTTACAATAGCAGTAAGCACACCTCTGCCACCAAGAGAGTAATGTTCACATGAGCTCCTTTGAGGCCAAATTGTACTGCCAAGGGTTCAGTAAGCTCCTGAATGCCTTGCCCACCCCCTTGGAAAGCAGTGGAGGCTTAGGACGACAGCACTGAGCAATGGGACTGACCCTGAGGCCAACAGAGAGAAAAAGGAAACAGGATAGCAGCTCGTTCTTGAGATAGAGGCACTGAAAGAGGCAAGGCAAACATCTTTGAGTTGTTAGTCTACAATCCCTTCAAAGACTCCAAACCTTGCTATACATCTTGCTATCAATCTTACACAAGCTACATACAGTCAGTTGGGAGAATGCACTCATCAGATTGTCCCACGGACAACCCTGCGACACACTTTCTTCACTAGTGATTGTGGGTGGTGCCAGGGTGCCAGGGGTCCAGGGGTCCAGGGTGCTGTCAGAAAGCAGGCTGAGCAAGCCATTTGGAGCAAGCCACTAAGCGGTACTTCTCCATGGCCTCAGTAAGTTCCTGCCTCCAGTTTCCTTCCCTACTTGAGTGCCTGCCTCAATTTCCCTTAGCAATGGACTGTTACACAGAGTATAAAATAAAATAAATGCTTTCCTCGTCTACATTGCAACAGCAGCAGCCAGCACCCACCCACAGAGCGCCCCTTGAGCACCTGTAATCCCAGCTCCACGGGATCCGACGCCCACTCCTGGCCCCCTTGGGTACAAGGCATGGTGCATATACACACATGCAGGCAAAACACTCCATACCTGTAAAAGTTAGCAACCTTTCAAAAACAATAAATTGACAGTTCCAAGTGGCATGTGCTTAGGCTCCGTTTCATAGGGTTGAGAAATGTCTGTTTATTACCAGTCTATGAAGAGTGGACATTAGCTTTGAATTAATTAATATACTTTCTGCATCGTGTTGAGCATAATTTGTATAATTTAATAATTTGATTTTACTATAAATATACGTAAAAATATTAATGGGTGCACGTGAGGAATC